TGTCGTTATTGTGTTTGGCTGTGCTTATAATTATTACTTCTTTAACTTTCTAAATTTTATGACGACCAAGTGAAAACAACATATAACAAAGTCAAATTTGTTCAATCTGTCATCGATTAAAAAAAATCGTTTGCGCAAGGAAAAAAACAGAAAATTAGATTGAAAAAACGAATTAATACATTGATGATTATAATTAATATTTATTTAATTTTATTTATTTATTGACAATAGTCAATACATATATATACTTTGTAGATTAAGATATTTGAATTCATGATTTTTATAGAGAATAATACTCTCTTTTACTATGAAACCACTCAATTTAGGAATGCTTTTGACCGCAGAAAAAAATCTTGATATGAAAAATCACTTTTAGGTGAAAATATATTTTTATCCTAAAAAATATTTTTTTAATTTAAAAAATTAAAATGGTACATTACAATTAAGAATGTCTCACGTTAAGTCTTCTCTCTCGGTGCATGTTAGCTGGGCTAACAGCGGTTGAAGACGAGGCCATTTTTCCTGCGATTCTTGCTTCTTTTCTGTTTATCCTGGATATTCTCTCGGGGGTTTTGTTGGTTTATGGTTGGTGAGGGAGTCACGGACTGGAGGAAACTCTCCGCGGCGGGGAATGATCGGGAGTTAGATTTATTCCCTCCTTCGGTGGTCGAGGGTTCTTGCGTAGTGAAGCCGCCTCGCTTTGTGTTTGAGGAAGGGATCTTGGAATGGAGGTTCTCTTTAGTTAGCCAATTTGTTAGCCCAGCTCTGAATTTTGCTTCCATCCAGAAAACTGTTGGCCTGATGTGGGGAAAATATTCGCCGGTCAAGGTGAGTTTAACTGGATCGAACTTATTTGTCTTTTCGTTTGTTAATTCTTCTGCTAGGGACTGGGTTTTAGATAATGATATGTGGCATGTTCAACATAAATCGATCTTCCTTAGGAAATGGGAACCTAACGTGAAGGAATTGCATTTTGATTTACTTTGTATGCATGTTTGGATTCAACTATATAATGTTCCTTTGGAATTGTTTTCGAAGAAAGGGCTCAGTTATATTGCTTGTGCAATTGGTAAGCCTCTTCACATGGATTCGATAATTGCTAACAGGGAAAGGCTTGAGTGTGATCGTGTTTGTGTAGAGGTTTCTGCTGGGTCTCAGTTCCCAAATTATATTGATGTGGTTTTGTGTGATGAGTTATTGGTTAGAATCAGGGTTTCTGTACCTTAGATGCCTAGATCATGTGCTGACTGTGGCCGGTTTGGACATGCTGTGAAGTATTGTCCTCAGGGTAAGAGAGTAGAACGTGTTTGGAGAGCCAAAGCACCTATGCAAGAAGCTAAGACGGATGGATCTGTTAATTAGGAAGCTTTAAATGCTTTAGGAGCTAAGAATTTTACTGTCGGGGCTGCTACTACAAGCTTAAACTCAACTTCAGTATCAATGGGGTCTAACCCTGGTATAGAGCATAATGGTTATGCTATTGCCAAAGTGGGTAACCAAACTGTTATTGCTGGCAACAACTTGGCTGCTAATACAGTGACTAATGGGGCTTGTTATGGGAACTCAGGTGCTATTTCAATGTCAGGAGAGGCTATTGCTAAAGCGGTCAACCATACTGTTATTGTTGGCAGCAACTTGGTTGCTAATTTAGTGATTAATGGGGCTTGTTTTGGGAACTCAGATGCTATTCCAATGTCAAATGAGGCTGAAGTTGGAATTGAACTAGGGTTAAAGCAATCTGATATTACTGAGAAGGATAATAATCCCCCTTTAAAAAGAGGTAGAGGTAGGCCTGCTAAGGATGACAAAACTGTTGGGAAGGTTCTAAGAATAAGTTTGACATTCTAAATTCAATTGACCTTGACAGTTTGGTTGGTGTACCCCCTGGTGACTCTGGCAAGAAGTAGAATGGTGTTGTTTTAGGTGTGTCAAAAATTGTTCAGGAGTTGAAACTGAAGAAGAAAGAACATGTTGACAAGGTTAAACAAATTGAGGAAATGGGTGGTGCTTCTTCCTCTACTATTTTGACATGCTAGTGTGTTTTTGGAATGTTAGGGGATTCAACAGTCCTCTAAAGCAGAGTAAAGTGTTGAAATGGGCTGCTAGATGTCAGATTAATGTTTTATGTCTTTTAGAAACAAGAGTTAAGGAGAACAATTCTGGGGATATTTTGTCAAAGAAGTTTGTTGATTGAGGATTCTGTTGGAACTATAGTTATGCTAAAACGGTCGGATTTGGGTGTTTTGGCAGAATTATTTGGACTACTCTATCAGTTCTGTTTTCGACCAAAGTATTACTATCAAGGGTAACTTTGGTGATAGATATTTTTTTCATAATTGCGGTGTATGGCTCAAATGATGGTCTTGTTCGCATGCAACTTTGGAATCATCTTAGTGCTATGGATTGTGCTGTGGGAAACGATGTCTGGTTAATTGAAGGTGACTTCAATGTCATACTAAATATGGAGGAAAGTTCGAATGAAGTTAATTCTAGTACTATCTCTGATATTTCTGATTTTCAGAGATGTGTAGAGGAGCTGGGGGTTTTCGACCACCAGTTTACTGTTCCTTTATTCACTTGGTCAAACAAACAACAAAACACTTACATGGCTTGCAAGTTGGACCGAGTTCTTATCAATCCTAGTTGGATTGTGACTTTTCCTGCCTCAGTGGTGGAGTTTCAAGCTCTTGGTGATTCGGATCACTGCCCAGCTTTAGTTTGGCTCCACAAGAATGCTCTCATTGCTAAACTGAAGCCTTTTAAATTCTTTAATTTATGGGCAATGCACCCTGACTTTATGTCTATTGTTAAAGAATCGTGGTAGTCCCTGATTGCTGGCAATCCAACTCAGGAACTTTTCTTGAAGCTTAAAAGATTGAAATGTTGCCTTAATGAGCTCAACAAGTCCCACTTTCATGATATTTCAGGGAAGGTTCAAAAGAAAATGGATGAACTTAAAAATATTCAACTCTTTAATTTGAATGATGCTGTTGCTGGCAGTTTTATCAAAGATGAATTGGTGGCAGAGAGAGAGCTACAAATCCTTGAGTAGGTGGAGCTGTTTTTATAAGCAAAAGACTAAAGCTGACTGGATCAAATATGGCGATCAAGGCACCCGCTTCTTTCACTCCATGGTGGCTAGAAAGAGGATGAGCAACACTATTCGGGTTCTTTATAATCATGATGGGGCTAAGCTGGATTCTTTTGATGACATGTCAAATGAGGTTATTCGGTTCTTTAAGAAACAACTAGGGGTAATCTATCCTGAGGTTAAGTATTGCAATGTCAATGTCATCAAGGATCTCCTCGATTATTCCTTGCCTAGAGGTGCATCTGATGTTTTAATCAAAGAAGTTTCTGCTATTGAGATTAAAGATTCCATATGGGGGCAAGGGAATAACAAATCCCCTGGTCCAGATGACTTTAACCTGACTTCTTCAAGAGTGCTTGGCCTTTAGTTGGGAATGATTTCTTGGCAGCTATCAGGTACTGCTTCGAAAACTCCTTAATAATCTCTTCTTTTAATGTTACTACTGTAGTCCTGGTCCCAAAAGTCCCCAACCCAAACATGGTTAAGGATTATAGACTCATTTCTTGTTGTTTTGTAATATATAAAACTGCTACTAGAATCTTGGTGAATCAGTTATCTGTTGTTTTCCCTAGCATGATCTCAATGATTCAATATGCATTTGTGAAGGGGGAAAACATTTTAGATAATACTCTTCTAGCCCAGGAACTTGTTAGGGGTTATTCTAGGAAGAATATCTCACCTAGATGTGCTCTTAAAATCAATTTGCATAAGGCTTTCGATTCTTTAGATTGGGAGTTTGTAGGGGTTATCTTGCATGCATTGGGTTTACCTGAGAGGTTCATTGGCTGGATATGGGCTTTTATTATAAACCCTAACTATTCAATTATTATTAATGGTAGCCTTGTTGGCTACTTCAAGGGTGCTCGAGGTGTTAGACAGGGGGGACCCCTTTCACCTTACATTTTTATCATGGCTATGAATGTCTTATACAGTCTTTTGAATGTGGTTGCTTCAAAGGGGGTGTTTAATTTCAACCCTAAATGTAAAAAAATTGGAATCACCCACCTTTGCTTTGCGGATGATTTACTCATTTTCTTCAAAGGCTCTATGGATTCGGTCATTGGGGTGCAAGCTGTCTTGGATATTTTTTACACTATATTGGGTTTAAAGCTGAATGCTAGTAAATGTGAAATTTACTCTGCTGGAATTTCTACTCAGCAGTGTGCTGCCATTAGGGATATTACTGGTTTTAACCTGGGTAGTCTCCCGGTGAGATACTTGGGTGTTCCACTGGTGTCTATAAAGCTAATTGTGAAAGACTGTTGTAGCCTCATTGATAAAATTAAGGCTAAACTGAATTTATGATCCAACAAGCATCTCCTCTTTGCTGGAAGACTTCAATTGATCTGAGCTATTTTATTCAGCATGGCTAACTTCTGGTGTAGGCAGTTAATTCTGCCAAAAGAGATTATTAGAACGGTTGAGCATTTATGTTCTAGATTCTTTTGGAAGGGGTCTGATTTACCTGCAAAAGGTGCTCGTGTCAGTTGGAAGAAAATTTTCTTATCAAAGTCTGAGAGGGGTCTGGGCGTGCAAGATGTTGGTGGCTGGAATAAGGCCTGCATTGTGCAGTTAATCAGGAAGATGTTAGCCGATGAGGGCTCTCTTTGGGTCGCTTGGATGCGGTCCTACGTGATTAGAAGTGGTGATTTTTTGCAGTTGAATATCCCCAATAATATTACCTAGAACTTCAAATATCTCTTAAAGATTAGGCCTAATGTTTTTCATCTCTTTGATGGTCTGGCTTCTGACCTCAATACGAGACGTATTTGGGAAGACATGCGCATAAAGGTACCCAAGGTCACTTGGCAACACTTAGTCTGGTTCCTTGGGCGTATCCCTAAGCACAACATTATTGTATGGATGGATATGTTAAATAGGCTTTCTACACGGGGTTAGACTTCTAAAAATGGGTCTAAGTATTGATGATGATAAATGTTTGTTGTGTGGTCTTGAGGCAGAGTCCAGAGAGCATTTTTTCTTCGATTGTAGCTTTGCTAAAAGTCAATGGGGTACTATCCTTACTTTATGTGGTGTATTCCGTATGGTCAGTAGTTGGGATGGGGAATTAGCTTGGGCGACCCATTGTCTCAAAAGGAAATCTCTCATTGTGAAAGTTCTCAAGCTCGCTTGGGCATGTCACGTTTACTGCATCTGGAAGGAGATAAACAACATGTTATTTGGGGGCAGTACAAGATCGGTGGATGTTGTATTGCTGGACATCAAGGAAGCTGTTCGGGTCCGGTTGATGGGGAAGTTTATTAACACAACTGACCCGAGAAATGTTGCCCTCTGTGCAAGCTGGGGTATACCTCAAACTACGACTTAATACTATATTATTTTCCCTGTTGTGTTAATTGTTTAGCTTTTATTGGATGCTCTTGTAATTTGATGTTTAATGTATGATGTAATATGTAGCAGACCTCATACTTTCTTGGTTAATGAAATGGAATTATCAAAAAAAAATTAATTTACAACATAATGTCTAAAATTGATTTTATTTTTTCAAATCACTTTTAACAATAATTTTAAACAATTAAATCTTAAACTGCAATTTTCAAAAACACTTTTAAAAGTGTTTTTTATGGTACTTTTAAATTCCACTTTTCAAAAATAATACCAAATTGTACCTAATTATTTAAATGATTTTAATCAAACTATAGGCAATTAAATATTTAATAGCATTGCTGACATATCAATTAGTAAATTGGTATAATTGCACATTTGGTCATTTATACTTACATATTCTATTAATTTGGTCATAATTTTAATTTATTCAACAAATTTAGTCCTCTAATCAAATGGTGACGTGTATTTATATCAATTTTAATAATTGTCACATCAAAACTTACGATAAATGTTAACGACATGTGATTGGATCGACATAACTTAAATAATTAAGTGATTTGATTGATAAAATTAAAAGATCGGTGGTCAAAATAAAATCCACTCATAGTTAAATGGTCATGGGTGTTGACAAGGAACTATTTTACTATTGTTTCAACTTAAAATCTCAGACTTATGGGCAATGAACCTCATAGGTCCCTTGATAATTTATCAAAAAATATTTATTATTTTTAAAATATATATGTATATATATCCAAATTGTAACATTTACTTATTATTAGTCTAATTAGAAAAGAAATAGAAACAATAAAAATACCAACTTAACAACACACGTATAAAAAATTAGGCTTGTCTGGAACTGGAATATGGTACTCGAAACAAGCAATCTTTCCTAACGGTGTCAAATTTTAGCTTAAGCATATCAAACATACTTGTACTGCATTTTTCTCTCAAACTTACTCTAACTTATGTCTTTAATTTTCTCGTTTAAAGACGAGTCTGGTCTTAAGGTTGGTTGTCTCTTGTTGCCTTTAGCTACTCATCATTTTTCTAGGGTTGTAAATGAATCAAACGTTCAACGAACCATTCGATGATAAGCTTGATTATTTATGAGAGAACATAAACAAAATTCTTTGTTTGTTTAATTAAATGAACGAAAACGAATAAATAACTCGTTCGTTCATTTATGTTTGAAGCGTTCTATAATATGTTCGTTTATGTTCGTTTAAATTTATTCGCATACGTATTTCTCAACAGTTCAATATCTCTTTCAATTTATGATAGATTGAAAAAAACCATAAATTGTTTAAATTTACATTTGTTTACATTTATTTATGTTTGTTTATTTGTTTGGTTAAAATTAAATGAATGAACGTGAATATACATTCATTCATATTGGTTCGATTAGTTTACGAGCATACTGTTGAAAGTAAAAAAATGGCCAATTTTCGGTGCATTAATGCACCGAATTTGACAGTATTAAAATTCAAAATTTACTGCTGCAATTTGATTGAAAAATTGGCATGGGAAAATTGCTCATTTAGTCCCTATATTTTAGGATATTTACAAGATTAGTCCTTAAGCTTCAACTATAAATACCCTAACTCATCTTGCTTCAAAAACATCCCAAATCATTATAGTTTTCTTACAATACTAGAGAAATTAGAGAGTTTTCTTTAGAGTTGTTTTCTCCTTTTTATCAAGAGAGAATTGTCATTGTTTTCTCCTTGTTAGATCGAGAGAAGTTGCAATTCATATTTTTCGATAGTGAAATTCTTCTACATTTGCCTGTGGTTTTTACCATATATTATTTAGAGGTTTTTCACGTAAAATTTATGTCTTCATTATCTTCATTTTTATTTTCTCAAATTATCAGTTGCGATTTTGCTTTATCCAATAGCTGTATTGTGCAACAATTGGTATCAGAGCCAGATTTGAGTGTGTAATATCTACTTATTATCTTTGTGGTTGCCACCAAAAGGTTGATCCTCCAACATAAAAAAGTAAGAAGGTATTACTCATTCTTTGAAGGTTTTAGAAAACTATCCACAATAGTGAAATAGTGGGAGCTATCCGTAATAGAAGCTATGACAACGAAATTTGATATTGAAAAGTTCAATAGAAGAAATTTCTCATTTTGGAAATTGAAGATGAAGGCCATCATGAGGAAAGATGGTTGTCTAGCGGCTATCAGTGAAAGGCCAGTAGATTTCACAAATGACAACAAATGGAACGAGATGGACGAGAATGATATGACAAACATTCATCTAGCATTAGCAGATGAAGTATTATCAAGCATTGAGGAGGAGGAGACAACCAAGGAGTTATGAGATCATCTCACCAAACTGTACAAGGCCATATCGTTGCACAATAAAATTTTCCTTAAGAGGAAATTGTATACTCTCCGGATACCAGAATCTATTTCAGTGACGGAGTACTTAAACACACTAAACACTTTATTTTCTCAGCTTACATCTTTAAGTTGTACAATAGGAGAACAAGAACGTGTTGAACTTCTACTTTAAAGTCTACCTGATTCATTTGATCAACTCATCATCAACTTGGCAAACAGTAATGTCATCAGTCTAGTCTTCGAGGGCGTTGCAGCTGCTGTTCTACAAGAAGAAAATCGGCGCAAAAGTAAGGAACACAGACAAGTAAATTAGCAACAAGTAGAAGCGTTGACAATAATGAGATGGAGATCAACAGAACATGGCCAAAGAAATAGTCACAAACATGGTAGATCAAAGTCGAGAAGCAAGAAGAATTTAAAGTGCTACAACTGTGAAAAGAATGGTCACTTGAAGAATGATTGTTGGAGTCTAGGTAAAAACTCTAATCCACAAGGTAATATCACAAACACTTCAGATGATGGAGATGCTCTATGTTGTGAAGCATCAACCACCGTGGAAGGTAGAAAGATGTTTGAAGATATATGACTCATTGATTCGGAAGCAACTTATCACATGACCTCAAGAAGATAATGGTTCCATCATTATGAACATGTCTCATAAGGATCTGTGTATAGTTGCAATGATCATGCTTTAAAGATCATCGGCGTTGGAACCATCAAATTAAAGGTGTATGATGGAACAATTAAAGTTGTTTGAGATGTGCGGCACGTGAAAGACCTGAAGAAAAATTTATTATCCTATGGATTGTTGGATAATAATGCAAGTAAGATTGAAATGCATAAAGGAACTATGAAGATGTTCCATGGAACGCTTGTGGTGATGAAAGAAGAAAAGACAGCAGGAAACTAGTATATGCTGAAGGGAGAGACTTTGCTAGAAGCAGAAGCCTTTGTTGCCTCATGTAGTTCAGATTCTACAATGCTATGGCATCAGAAACTTGGACACATGTCAGAACAATGAATGAAAGTCCTTGTGGAGCAAAAGCTACTTCCAAGTTTAATAAAGGTATCACTTACTTTGTGTGAGTATTATATAACAAGTAAGCATCACCGATTAAAATTCAACATGTCAAATTCTAGAGGCAAAAGTGTTCAGAATTGGTTTAATCTGACGTATGACAAGCACCAGTTACACCCCTAGGTAGAGAAAAGTAATTTGTCTCATTTATTGATGACTACTCTAGGAGATGTTGGGTGTACCCTACTAAGAAAAAGTCATATGTGTTTTCAACTTTCAAAAACTTTAAAGCGCAGGTGAAACTTAACTTTGGAAATAAAATCAAGTGTTTCCGAATAGATAATGGAGGGTAATACACAAATGAAGAATTCGATGACTTTTGCAGAAAAGAATGCATCAAAAGACAATTCAAAGTGACATACGCTCCACAACAAAATGGAGTGGTAGAGCGGATGAACAAAACCTTGTTGGAAAGAACAAGAACAATGTTGAGGGATGCATGTCTAGAAAAATCATTTTTGGAAGAAGCAGTCAATACCGCCTGTTTTTTGGTGAATCGAGTTCTATCAACTGCAATAGAGCTGAAGACACCAATAGAGATGTGGAATGGTAAACCAGCTAATTATTCAAACCTCCATGTATTTGAAAGTATTGTGTATGTGATGTATAACTCCCAAGAAATTTCAAAGTTGGATTTAAAATCTAGGAAATGCAAATTCTTGGGGTATATTGATGGAGTGAAGGGGTATCTCTTGTGAGATATCACTGCCCACAAAATGATCATCAACATGGATGTTATCTTTGTAGAAGATAAACTACAAAGAAAAGAAGAAGATGATAGAGCTGAAAAGTCAGAGACTACACAAATACATGTGGAAAAGTAGTTTGAATAAGAAGATTATTCTAAAGTAAAACCAACACATAATGAACAAGAACCAGAGAGTTCTGAAGCTCCAACAACTCGTCAATCAGATCGTGTGAAAAGACGTTCCAATTGGCACTCAGATTCTATTATAGAAGAAAATATTACATACTATCTTTTAACAGATGACGATGAGCCATCAACATTCCAAGAGGTAATAAACAACTTATATGCTTTACAGTGGATGATTGCAATGCAAGAAGAAATTGAAGCCCTTCATAAAAATAATACATGGGACCTTGTGCCACTACCACAAGGAAGGAAGCTAATTGGTAACAAATGAGTCTTCAAAATCAAGCAAAATGGTAACAACCAAGTGGAGAGGTATTATGCAAGACTGGTGGTTAAAGGATATGCCAAAAAATAAGATATTGATTTCAATGAAATATTTTCTCCTGTGGTTCAACTAACAACGGTTTGAGTAGTCTTGACAATGTGTGTTACATTAAACTTACATCTAGAGCATCTAGATGTTAAAACAACTTTTCTTCATAGAGATCTTGAATAAGAGATTTACATGCTCCAACCCGAAGGTTTTGAAGAAAAAAAAAGAAGAAATTGGTTTGTAGGTTGAACAAATCTCTTTACGGTCTAAAATAGGCACCAAGGTGTTGGTATAAGAGATTTGATTCCTTCATTGTGTGTCTTGGATACAACAGACTTAATGCAGACCCTTGTGCTTATTTCAAG